TTTAATCTTCTTGACACTGATGCGATGAAGGTATTATTGACTCATTTTACATATGAGCCAACTGAGATTCAGACTACTTAAATTGTGCAAGAAAGAAAACAAAAGGAAACTGAAAAGTGGTGTAATCCTAATTATAGGAGAACTAGAATGAGAACTAAACTGAAGTGACAGTTCTAACCAAGGTATCCCCCCGCATCAGTTTTAACTTCTGTTGACCTTGTGATCTTGTTCAGTCAGATATGACATTGATAGCATAATAGGAACAGGTGGGAGGATGAAGACATGTCAGAACTTCACTGGTTGGTGAACAGAGGGATGAAGTTAAGAAAAAGCATGACCAAATATGATAAAGACTAAAGAAATAAAATTAGACACAGATGCAGGCCCCAACAAGGTAGTTCTCTGTTCAAAGTCCAAAGGGCACATGAAATTCAGACATGGCTTAGACGATCTTTGGCCCACAATATGGGCCTATCTGGAATAAGAGTATTGTAGTCCAGTACGTCTAGATAGGAGCCGGGGGTCTATTCAGAAACTGGGACTAGAGAACAATTTTCTAAACCAAGTTTATACCTTCTCCACACTGGATGGGGCTCTGGGAGAGGCTGCATGATTTCTCTGAGTGGGAGTTGATGAGACTCGCAGTCTTGGTCAGATTTCGCTCATGAGCTGGAATGGGCTCCTTTTGGTAGATATCAGGAAATAGAAACATGGGGAGCAAAAGAAGACCAAGGGAGGGAAAATGGAGTAGGGACCAATTATTATGACCATCTCCAAACCTTAGAATCATTTATTATCCTGAATTCAGCTGTTCTTGAAGCCATTACAAAACAAACAAACAAAAACATTACGACTTTAGCTAACTCTTGCATTTTTCACAAAATAGTATTCTTCAAATAGCAAAACTTGCTTAAAAGCTGCCCAAATTCAAGTCTGCTAATGGAAAAAACAAAAACAAAAACAAAAATTAAATTCGTTTAATTTTCAGCTAGAGATTTAGCCCCTCTTTTTGGCAAGACAGCATTACACTTTCATGGTGCTTATAGCTTTTCTCTATAGACAGTTTTCTTTATGCAAGTTCTTCCTTTTAAGAATGTATTCTTTTCTTCTATGACGCTTTAATATTATGTTGACCATGGTTGTCTTCCCTTATTGACATCCTGTCTAACCTGCTCTTTAATTTATAGATGAGATATTTTCTACATAGAAAGAATTCCTTTGAAGAGTGCTATGGACTAAATTGCGTCCCCCAAAACTTCATATGATGACTTCCTAAACCCTAATGTGATGGTATTTAGAGATGAAGCCTTTTGGATATAATTAGGTTTAGATGAGGTCACAAGGGTGGGGCCTTCATGACGGAATTTGTGCCCTTTTAAAAGAAGAGGAAGAGAAAGAAATTGCATGCATTGAGTAAAGGCCATATGAGCACACAGTGAGAAAGCGGCCAGCTATCTGAAAGCCAGAGAGAGAAGTCTCACCAGAACCCGGCTCTGCTAGCACACTGACCTCAGATTTCCATCCTCAAGGACTGTGAGAAAACAAATTTCTACTGCTTAAGCCAGTCTATGGTATTTTGTTATGTCAGCCTGAGCTAAGACACAGAGCCTTAAAGATGTGATTTTATTAAATATTACTGAAGATTATTATTATTAAATACAATAAAGCTTCTCAAAAAAGCTTTGATTCTTTTACTTTCATTTTTCCATCTCTATAATAGTTAAAATCATCCTTCTAGAAATGTATAAACCAGTGTCTTGATTCTTTCTAGCTGTACTCATAAGACAATGTGAAGGAAAGGTTGCTAAGAGATAGCTAACCCAAAACGTAATTTAGCTGCATTTTCCCAGAATCCTTCCTTTCCCTCTCCTTGACTATAGGCTTGACTGGGAAAGAGGTTCTTTTCCTGGTCCTAGTAAAATATGTTGTTTTGCTTCCAGCGTCTGGCTTCTGTCATAATGTCTCCTTTAGCATTCTTCCTGTTTCTACTTGACCATTTACTTTTTCTTAATTACATCTTTCCTCCTTAAGGATAATATTGAAAAAGAAAAACATAGTTTAGTAATACCTGATGTGAACCAGTAAATCACTGTTATAGTTAAACAAAATATTTGGAAGAAGATGTTTCTCTGTTTTTAGTTTGAAAATTTTTGTAAATATCTTAATCTCATAATTTTATATTTAACAGCATATCATTTATCATATCATCTTGGACAAGTCAGTTAACCACCTTGATATCATTATTCCTCATTCCTAAAAGGGAAAAAGTAATAATAGCTGCTATATTACTTCACAAGGTTGTGGTCAGAATCAGATGGAATAATAAAAACCAAAGTTTATACAAAGTTTCATTGTTACATTGTTAGTTGGGAAATATCTGCCTGTATTTAATTCAGCCAGATTGGCCACATAGTAGATACTCTGCACCAAAGTAGAGTGCTAGATTAATCTTTGGTGTTTATTTGTATTGTGGGGTATTTCATGACCGATTTTGCAAAACGAGTTTGGCTTAGGAGAGTATTTTAATAGTATGAGTGAGGGACTGCGTGAGAGAATGATTATAGCACAAATATATGTTAGTACTCTCAGAATCTTTAATGGTACACTAGAAACTTGCATTTATCAAATTTCTGTTTTGACAGAATGCTTTCATGTCCTACAAGTGCTTTGTGTGTGAGAGAGAATGGTAGGTAAATTTTGAGGAAAGTAAAGCTGGCTATTTTCCCTTTTCTGTAAGCTGTAAGACTTCAAGTGAGAGAAAGAAGGAAATGGAAAAGTTTTCCTGCTTATAACTCTAATTGAAGGCCTTAATCCTACACTTTCTCCACTGCGTGCATGTGTGTGTGTGTGTGTGTGTATTGCATGTTGGCAGGGTTGGGTTGCCAAGGTGAGCATGCATAGCGGTGAGAGGAAGAGAAATAGTAACGGAAGTAAAGAATCAAAAAGATGTATAGGAGACATGGGGACATTTACACTACCTTGGATGTGAGATTAAAGGCACCCAGGAATTTTCCTTTTTTTTTGCTCTTCTCAAGCTCCCACTTGCTAAATTTTTTTTCCCCTGAAAAATTCATGGTAGTCTTAGACTGAAATCATTTTGAAGTAAATTTCTGCTTCATTTTAATAGAAATATATGGGGAAAGCTTGTTGCTCTTTATCCTGGTTTTTTTTTTTTTATATATAATAATCATTACAGTTGTTGCATGCCTAAATGGTAGAACAAATATTTACTTATATCTATAGAGGTATAAATTCAACAGAATAAAGTTTCAGGTAATAAAAAATGTGATAGTGCTTTAAAAATATAAAAAATATTAATAGACTATAAATATCCGGAGTGGCAGAGCTCAGAAATATGGTGTGACACAAAAAAGTAACTGTATTTAATATATAATAAAGCAAATGAAAAATGCTTACAAATGCTCGTTGAGACATCATGCTACAAAACAGTTTGAGTCGAGATGCCTGTAGTTTGGTTTTTCCTTTAGTAATGTATGCTGTTTTGATATAGCCAATTTTTTCTTTACAAGTTAATAGAATGATATGAAAATTTCATTGTCTTCCTACTTAGGTTACCTGCCAATTTTAATCTATAGGAGCTTCTAGTTCAAATTCTAACAACCAACAATCTTTACTAAAGTGTTTAAAGATGTAAATATTTATTCTAAACCATATCTAGTTTAAAAATGTGATTCGATCATAATTATATACATGTATTTTTAAATATCAGAACTTTGAGGGGTGGATAGGTGCTCTAGATCAAAACTGCTTTTACTTGCTTTCAGGTTTCTAACAGAATGATGGTGATGTGATAAACACAGTGCTTTTGTTATTACTATTCTTTTAAGACGTGATATCAATCACTTTTTAACCTCCAGTTGGGAAAGAGGGTGGAGAGAGAGATAAAAAAAAAAAAAGGGCACTGTTGTACTACAAAAACAAAACCAGCGTCTTTGTATACCAACTACTCCTCTCAGGGGTAGTTAAACCTATCATTCGTCTGGTAAGGCAGGGAGGGAAAATGAGATAAATTCTCAATTATTTTAAAGTGTATGTTTAATTGGAGACTAAAGTTTTGGAAGCGAGAGTGTGCGCTCAGCTTCTTGATTGTTCCTTTTGTATATTTTTATATAAAAATATTTTTAAAAGTTTGATAAATGAATATATAAACATAGCGCCAGGCTGATTTTTCTTCATGCACACCTTTATATCTGACTTTCGAAAGAACTTTAGACAGTCATAGTAATAACAATTTTTTAAAAATCAAAGTTTCAGAGTCCTCTACAATGTCTTCATGGTGGATCGATTTCTATAGAGGTCTACCAAAGTGACATATCTTCATCCCAGTTAACCAACTATGAGAAGAATGTAGCTTTCTGCCTTTGCTATGTGGGCAGAAAGGAATAGAAAGTGGAGTCAGAAAACATCCGTTCCAGTTTGTTCTACAACCTGATGACTTGAGTGATGTTTGACCTCTCAGAACTCCAGGAGGTTCATATGGAAAACTGAAATACTCTCACATTATGTAGTTCAGAGGATTACATTAGCTCACAAACGGATTAGCTGAACCCTAATATAGCACTGGGGTTACAAAAAAGTGGGCGAGATTAAGCCAGTGATGTCACGCTCATAGACCAGGCCCTAAAATTCTTTTGGCACCTGGAGGGCTGTGCTCGCCACACTCGGGAAAAGCCTCGGCACCCTGACTTGAAACAATGGCGCCCTTAGGCTCTTTGCTTGCTCAAGCGGCGGAATTTTTAGCTCTCTTAAACCAGGGAGCGTTTTCTTCCAGCTCTCCTCACAGATCTCGCCAACCGTCTCCTCCCAAGGCGTCTCTCAGAGAGACATAATCGTATTCACAAGCACTCCACACTCCCCCTCACGCACCGCTCGTAAGGTAGGGAGGAAGGAGTTGCTTGGCTTTTATATGCCTTGCCAGCCAATGAGCGGGCTGCCCTTTTTCCGGTCGGGGAGCCGACCAATCCGAGTAAGTCGGGGTACTCTTCGGCTCCACTCGGCTCTTTTCGCTGATGCGGGCAGCGTGGGGGCCGCCGCGGCTAGAGACGCTTTCCTTTTTTTATTTTTTTCCATGTGTTCACTTCCGGGTCCGGCGCCGATCCGGATGCCTGAGGCAGAAGGATGTTTGACCTCCGGATAAGCGAGGCGCGCTGTGCATTCATTCCCGGCTGCATCTGTGGCGACAGCAGCGGCCCGGGCGGCGACGCTTCGGCCAGAGGCGGCGGTAGGAGGCAGCAGCAGTAGTGCAGGAACCGAGTCCGAGCCGCGTTACCTCCCTCTCCGGTTCCTTCCCCCCCTACCTCGTTCGCTCCCTCCCTGCGTGGCTCGCTTTCCTCCTCCGGCCGCCGGCGGGTGTGATGTGCCGCGGTCGCTGCCCCCGCCGCCGCTGACTGACGGACTAGGGGC